ACTCTATTGTTGTAGCGTCTGTTTATAAGAGACTATGAGGTGGCTGATCTTGTGCTGATCTCATCATCCGATACCCGAACACATGACGACCCTCAAATATTTGGTCTTTGTTGGCACATCAACAAACACCCGCCGCTGTCGTCTCGAAAGCGCGTCGCGTTTGCGACGCGTCCTGCTGCTCCAGACTCCAGAAGCTTCTCAATCACCTCCTTTGTCACTGCTTTAATCTACCAACTTACCTCGTACCGTATCAAGTTCCCGATGTTGCAAAATTTAAAAATAGAAAGAGGAAACAAACTTGGAGGGAGAAGAAAACAATTCGATGAAATCTCAGAATACTCCTGTATTGTGTCCCACATAGTATATGCGTTCGGGAGCATGATCCTCGGAGGATTAGGTCAAGAGATCCTGTCCACCGATGAATCCTGACGGTCAGGCCGGGAATTTTCAACGAGTTCTTCGTGTACTGCTGAATCCGGTGCGAGGCCGTTTGGCGGGTGGCGACACTCCATGTGAGTCGGAGTCAGGCCATCTTCGCGCAACAGTATGACTCAAGTGCTTCAACTTATGGCAATATCAAGCAGCAAAAGCGATCGCGCTGAATTCAACACTAGTTCAACTGCGTGGTTCAACATAGTCCGACGAATCAACATATTGCAATTAGCTTCCTCATGCCTGGTATTGGCGACTTTTGAACTTGCTTTTGAACATTTAGATGCCGGAGCTTACCTGCACGCTGTTGAAAGGACCGACTCTCGCGATCACCGAAACTTTCACATCTCTTGGACTGCATTAGTGAAAGGGACGTGATTTTAGGGTACGCGTTATGGTACCTTGGGACCTAGTTGACGTTCACTATTATAATACTAGTGTATTGTATTATCAATCGAAAAGGAACTGTCCACAATTTATGAATTCAATGCGTGAAAACAACCTGGAAAGCGGGCAAGTGGGCTCTCCGATCGAGGGAGATTCACCTCGACTAGTCAATTCGCAAGTGCTCGAGAAAATGATTCAATTAATTTCAAGTCGGCCCTGAACTGCAATACTGAATCCGTTGCCATCTAAAACTTCACCAGCCGCATGAGTTCCTCTCTCGCTTCTCCCGCGCGCGCCTCCTTAAGGGCCTTCGACATCTTTGCCACATTTTCCTGCAATCTCGCCCCCTTGTCACCTCGCGCAGCGGCAAACGTCGCCTTGAACTCCTCTGACGCATCCTGCACAGTCCCAGTAATTTTGACATCACTGTGGAGGGAAGGCGCGATTTGTGGGCCAGCACGAATCTACGCACGTTCAAGTTAAATGGGTTGATTCAAAAAAGGAAATTAGGGAACGCTAATACCTGCAGGAGCTCAATCGCCAGTGGGTTCGGCTCTGCTGACAACATTGCCGCGTTGACAGGCTGCTCAGCGCCAACAGGCCAGATAATTAGCGGGATACCCTGCGTAAATGACTCGGTCACAGAACTACGGTAGACGTGAGTGGTGCGAACAAACAAAACAGGTCGATTGGAGGTAGAGGTGGAAACTTACTTGAAGCCGCCGTGTGTGAGGAACCACCCGACGCCGCCGTGTTGCAGGATCGCGAGCTGCTCGACCCAAAATCCGCAAATGAGCCCTTTGCCGCTCGCGTTGACGCGCTGTATGAGGTCTGCAGGGAGGGACGCCATCGCGGACCCAAGCGCGAAGATGAATGGCAATGGCTGTTCGAGTTCGAGTAGCGTGGTCACAAGCGCTTCTACGAGCTGCGGCGTGGCAACCGGGAAGAAGAGCGATCTGACGAGAGTACGACATGTAAGGATTCTGAGCAGCAATGAAGAATACACTGCGCGCACCCGAAGGAGATATAAAGGACAGATTTCTTGCCGTATTCACTCACAGCGCGGTCCAAGAAATATTTGACGCGCTCGTTGGACAGCACAGCTGGGGTAGCATTGGCCCAACAGAGCTCGTGAGCCTGCATCCCGATGGTAAACAGCTCTTTCCCGTGCTTCCCGTAAAATTCACGGAGGTAGGGAACGCCGACGGGCTCAATACAGGTGCTGGTGGTAGCAATGTATCCGTCGGCGGCCTTGCCGAGCTTCTGGGCGCTTGACAAAAGCGCACCGAAGCCAGTCGGTGGGCCGGCGCCATATGCGTGGCGTTCGTAGTCGTACATGTCGGGGCCGCCGGGATACTTAATGATGAGTCCTGATATTTTATCCGTGCCGTTGGAGGCCTCGAAAACCTGTGAGCGTGAAGTTGGAATAAATTAATGGCAAACAATCTTGGACTCGGATGAAACCCAGCATTCTGCACAATGTCGTCCAGAGAGCGTCCCTCCCGCTTCGACTCGTCGGCGTAGATTTCCTCAGCTATCGCAGTAAAATCGTAGTTGCTGAAATGCGCGGGCACGGAGATAATGGCGGAGGACCACCACACAAGGGTCTTGCAGTCGGGACCAAAAATTGCCTTGGTGGGTTCAATTACAAACCCTCCGCAGGCGAAATCGAACTGAGAGAAACCGTCGGCATCAGGAAATGAGACAAAAATAAAATGCGTACATGAATGGCTTGTGGTTTGGGCCATCCCTCACTTCCGTGAGCCAATTGAGGAATAGTCTCCATCCAGCCGCCACAAAGCTGTCCGAGCGCTTTTTGAGCATGGTCGGTCCAAACTCAAGGCTGCAAAATCAAGGAGCGATCAAATAGTGAAACGATGCAAAGAACTGGGGACGCACTCCTTGGCGCCCACCCCAATGAGTCGAAGTCGCGCTTTGTCGTAGGAGCACTCCGCCAGCGCTGCCTCCATCTTCGGGACTGATCATACGCAAAATGCAATTCGGACTTTGTTTGGTATTCTTGAGAAGGTACACACCCATAAGACTGTGCTGCACAATCGTAACAACGAGGGTAGGATCCACGGCGAGCATCTGGGTCACAGCATTGATGTAGCTGATTGTGTGTCCCCACGCGGGTGGGAGCATTGCGACAATGTGGTGGGTAGCCATGTTGAACAGGAACGAAGGGAGAGTGGAACAAGGGAGCTTTCTGGGTTTGATTGCTCAGAGGCTATTGTAAGTAGGGGTACTGGAAATGCTTGGGAAATCCAGTGGCGTTCCATCGGAAGAATCATCTCTTCAGCGAGCATCTGGTTCACAGCATTGATGTAGCTGATTGTGTGTCCCCACGCGGGTGGGAGCATTGCGACAATGTGGTGGGTAGCCATGTTGAACAGGAACGAAGGGAGAGTGAAACAAGGGAGCTTTCTGGGTTTGATTGCTCAGAGGCTCTTGTAAGTAAGGGTACTGGAAATGCTTGGGAAATCCAGTGGCGTCCCATCGGAAGAATCATCTCTTGCTGATAAATGCCCAACTCAGCGGTTCTTGAACACAACAAACATTGATCGCCGCCACTGTTGTTTAACTGTTGTCCTCGCTCGAGGAAACCGACGCACAGTGCTGTAGAGTAAATCGCGCTGCGTGCATTGGAAAATTTGTCGCTTGCATGAGTATAGTCCGGCAAACCTGGTTACCAGTAGAGGAGAAAACAAAACAAAATCCCCAGCGAGAATTTGAAAGCGGGCCCAGCGAAAATAGGTCAGAATAAGCGGGACAAAAGGTACATCAGTGTCTGAGGGTGACTCGGACTGCGGTCTGTGTTGAAGACTGAAGTGGCCAGGTCCGATCAATCCGACTAAATTTGGCAACGCCGTCCAACATCATATGTTTTGTCCCTTGTTCATGATCAAGTCCATGATCGTGTATTTTTGTGTTCGTATTGCTTCTCTCGAGTGTTGACCGAGTGGCTGGATCTTGACCAAGAGATTCAACTCGGGCGCGCGCTTAGCTATGTCCACACAAAGCCGCCGCACTTAACTTACCAAGAACTTGAACGATGTAGCGCCCTTGCCTTGCAATGGCCAGTCCTTTAAACTTGCGGCCCGAAGAGCTGAACGAGCCGTATTAATATTTCACAGCCTCCAGATAGTGACCAATTTGGAGAATTGATCTTCCTATATACCCGACTCGCATATACATACTGCATGATCTGCTACTACTTGAAGCGCTGGCCTGAACAAATACACAGCCGTTCGTGTGAGCCATGCACGGACTTCCCGCACTCGGCCATGGAATGGACGGAGCTGGATTCGAGACGATTGGACGGAAGAGGGGAGAGGGGAGGAGGGTAATACGCGAATGGGAGAGATGAATGAGTGTTGGAAGACAGGAAAGAGGATCGGTGAGAGTTGAGAGTGGATAATGAGAGGGAGGTACGAGGGGAGATGGATGCGGAACGTGAAAGAAGAGCAGCGAAAGAACACAGCGGGAAAACACGCACTAGTTCCCTACCTCATCGGCGGCACGACCCACGCGTCTTACATCTTTTTAAATCCACTCTTACGCGGGGTTCGCGACAGCTCCCTCGATTATGCGGCGATGGCGACGAGAATGGCGATGGAACGTTGAGGAGGAGGATGAGGGTTGCGAGGAAGGTGTAGACAGTGCGCGCGGTGAGGAAGCGGTACCAGGGGAGCGCGGCCATGTGCGTGTCAGTTGCAAGGCCAAGATCGAGGAAAAGCCGATCCAGGAGAAGAAGGTGTAGAGGAAGATAGCTATAGGGAAGGTGGGAGAATCAGCCGAATTCACAACAAGCACTATACATGACGCACGGTACAATTGCGCCGACGACGGGATGCCCGGCTGCGGGGGCCCGCCTTGTCCACCTTGGCCTTGGCCTGGCGGCGGCGGCGAGTCGGTGGGGTTTGTGGGGTCGCCGGTGTAGGTCGGAATGATGCTAAACGGCGTCGACGTGCTGCTTGTTGTGCTGGCAGTGCAATTTGGTGCTGCTGATGAGCCTGGTGTAATGATGCACACAGGGATTCACTACTCAAGAATTGAGAAATAATGTATTCCCGAAGTCCTTGTTCGAACCAAGGCTGCTCTGGCGAAAATTGCCTTTTTTTGGCATAAATCCCTCTGAATGAGTTACACCCGGGCAACTTCGAAACTGGGTCGGAGAAGGCAGTATGGTGTAATGCTGCACATGGGATTTCCTTGGACTTTGAACATGAGTTATTCCCGAGGTCCTTGTTCGAATCAAGGTACTGCTCACCATCTCTGTAGAATTCCTTTTTGGCAAAGTTCCTCTGAATTTCTAGCACTCACCCACCTTGAAACTGGGTCGGAAAAGGCAGTATGGTGTAATGTTGCATGCGGGGTTTTCTTACTTTAGTGAGAATGCTCTCATCTTCGAGGCCCTTGGTCGAATCAAGGTACTGCTCTTACTTTTGCCCTGCGCTTTTTTTTTTTGGCACAAAATTCCTCTGAATCTCTGACACTCCACCCACCTTGAAACAGGAGAAATAAAGCAGTATGGTGTAATGATGCACACGGGGTTTTCTTAAGTACCTCGTGAGAAGATAGGTTATTCCCGAGGCCCTTGTTCGAGTCAAGGTACTGTTCTTCATCTCTGCGAATGCATATTTTTGAACAAAATTCTTCCTAATCTCCATCACTCCACCTACCATGAAAGAGGGTAAAGAAAGCAGTATGGTGTAACGACGCACACGGGGATTTTCTTCAGATGTTCGGTGGCACATTTAATCCCAAGGTCCTTGTTCGAATCAAGGTACTGCTTTGCCACTTGTGTAAAAAAAATTTTGGGCAAAGTTTCTCTGAGGTTCTAGCACTCACTCACATTTAATTCTGGAAATGAAAGCAGTATGGTGTAATGATGCACACGGGATTTGCTTGAACGTTCAAGCTTGCGTGTAATTCCCGAGGTCCTTGTTCGAATCAAGGTACTGTTCTGAAACGGTAGGATCTAGGTTTTTTTGTTCTTTTGGGTTTACCTCTGAAGTTCTAGCACTTTGAAACAGGGCAAAGAAAGCAGTATGGTGTAATGATGCACATTGGATTTTCTTCGCATGAACTCGTGAGAATGCATTCCTGAGGTCCTTGTTCGAATCAAGGTGCTGCTCTTTCTGTTGCCCTGCACTTTTTTTTTTGGCACAAAATTCCTCTGAATCTCTGACACTCCACCCACCTCGAACCAAGGCAAAGAAAGCAGTATGGTGTAATGATGCACCCAGGAATTTCTTATTAATGTGATGATAGTGTAATCCTGAGGTCCTTGTTCGAATCAAGGTGCTGCTCTGACAACCATCACAGCGCATTTCTTTCTTGCACAAAATTCCTCTGAATCTCTAGCACTCCACCCACTTTGAAACAGGGCAAGGAAAGGCAGTATAGTGTAAGGATGCACATGGGGTTTGCCTGCATCGTAATACTGTACCCATCCCTGAGGTCCTTGTTCGGATCAAGGTACTGTCTTGGATCTCTTCAGCACATTTTTAGCACAAATTCCTACAAATCTCTGGCACCCCACCAACTTCGAAATAGCCCAAGGAAAGGCGGTATGGTGTAATGCTGCGCATCAGAATTTCTTTGCCGAGAAAAGCTAGAAGAATATATTCCTGAGGTCCTTGTTCGAACCAATGTCGGAAAAATCCTGGGTGGGTTGTATCGTCACTAAACCGGTCCCAACCCGTTCCAAGGTCCCAATTTTTTTGTGGCTTGCAACACTTGGGTTTCATTTTTTTTTTCATTTCATTTTCCATTAAAGTGCAGGCGGGCCCCTTGGGGCCCATGTGACACTATACAGTATATGTGGAGTAATCTAGCGGGCATTGAGTATGGTGCGTGTAATTGTTCGGTAGGCAGGCGGGCGTAAGAGGTATGCTACGATGGTGGTGGATGAGTTATGATATTCTAATGCAGTTTATGACGGTCTTGGTGATATGTGAGAGAAAAATAAGAGTAATAGTAAGAGGGGGAGGCACGGGGAGAGGGGCGGTGGAGTGGGGGTTCATAGCGCGTAGCGCAGGAAGCGGTCGGTGCTGCGGACGTAGGCGAGGATGGGCTTATGGTCGGATTTCGCTGCGAGGAGAAGGCGGAGTGTGAGGCGGGCCGTACCGAGGCGCATGATGAGTTCAAGGCGTTGTCGGCGGTACGCAGGGCAGATGAGGAGGTAGTGGGGGACGGTCTCGGGGGTGGAGCAGAGGGCGCAGTTGGGGGAGGGGGAGCGCTGGATGCGGTGGAGGTACGCGCCGAGGCTGATGTGCCCGGTGCGAAGTTGAGTGAGGAGACTGCACTGGGGTCGGGAGAGGTCGTCGTACATACGTGCGATGGCGTTGGATGGAGTCGTGGTGTCGAAGAGCGCGAGGCGCCGGTTCCTCGGGGAGGATGCCCACTCCGTGTTCCACCTTTCCCTGAATCCTTTCCCGTTTGGGTAAGGTGCATGTAACCCGGTTCCAAGCCAGCGGCGGGGTTACAATCAGTTACAATCCATTCAAAGCCAGTCGGGGGATTATAGACCTTGAGACCTGTTTTAAGTGGTTGCAACTAACACGCGCTACGCCAATTTAAAAAAAAGAATTGAATAAAACTAAATATAAAAGTACATTATTGCTGCTACTAGAACAATTCACCGTCCACGCCACTCATTGTTATGAGAGCGGTTTGGGGCTGCGCTCCGTCGGGATGAGGATTGCCCGCCTGGACCCATGGATGGTACAGGTGGGTGTCTCACAGCCGAGGAAGGGGGAGGAATGGTCGGCGTCCGGGAGGTGGTGCGCGGTGGGTTTGGTGCTTGAGCTGACAATCGGGGCTGGGAGCTGGATGATAGTTGCGGTGAGCTTGTCGAACTTGTCGAGAAGTGGCGCGAATGCAGGGGTGGGGAAGGGGAGGATGACTGGCTTTGGAAGTTGTCTTCGCCGTTGTCCTGTGGAGGGCTGGCGATCTGTAAAGAGTAATTAGATCAGTGGACGAAGTTTAAAGTAAAGACATGCACTTGAGGAATCGTGTGCTCTGCGGCCGACGGTACTTGAGAGCAAAAACATCGTCAAGCTCCGCGTTGCAGCCAAATGGCCTGAAGAGACTCAGGAACAGCATGTTAGGATAAAACAGGAACGCACCAGGATTGTCGCAATGACAATCGCACCAGGGGTTATACGGGCGATCTTGTGTAACCGTTCGAGGCAATTGGCTTACAGGAGCTTGGATTTGCCTTCGAAAAGCCCTTGTGCATCTCGACGACCGCAGATGATGGAAATGTACACCTCAAAAAGAAAAAGGAAATGAGCCACGGGAAAGAAATGTGCGGATTGCGCACCTCGAGCACCACATTGCCCTCATTGGCTTGGACTTGCAGTTGTTGGCGAACGTAAGAATCAATGAGAGCAATGAGTCAAAATGCATCACAACGCACCTGCGCATGGTCTGCGGTGGCTTGCTGGGTGTGTGCCGCTGAGTGAAAGCGAGAAGGCCGTGAAGGGACCGGGGAGATGTGGGCGGAGAGAGTGTGGCATGGTTGTGAGTTAGGTGGTGGTGGTGAAAAGGAAAGAAGATGCACTTGCCACCGTCTTAAATAGTGGCTTTGACTTGCGCATTGTCCTCAGTGATGGTGGCTGGAGAACTTTGCCACCGCGAATTCGGTCACATGGCTGTGACTTGCGATCGTTCGAGCCGCGACGCGCTTGCCCCTCAGAGTCTAGACACAATGGCGCCTAAGAAAATTTCCAAGAAAACAATTCAGAAATTGCCTCCACAATGTTGAATATTCATTGTGCCTGAACATGTTACACTCGGCATGCTGTTGTGCCCCATATTTGGCGCGTCGCGCGAGGTATTCTATCTGATGGACTGCGTTGACGCAGATATGTTTCTACGTGTGAATAAGATAGAGTAATTTGACTGCAAATACTTCCCGTTCATCCCTGATGTTGGTCAGGACGGATCCCCACTGAAGAAAGTCAGTAGCAGTGAAAGTCTAAGTTGTTATACTGGCACTGAACATTTTTCTACGTGGTTACACTGAGGTCCTAGCTCCTCACTCAAAAGCCGTTCAAATCCGTCTCAAGAGGTTTAAAGCCTAGAAGGGCCCTTTGGACAGCTCAGAACTGGTTACAAGTTGGTTACAAGCCACCCCGCCAGCAGCTTGGGACCGGTTGTAATCCCACCCAAGCCGATAAGCCGCCCCAATCCGTTCCAACTGATTTGGGTTTTTCCCGACAAAGGTACTGCTCTGGCAAAAGAATTGTCTTTTTTTTTGGCATAAATCCCTCTGAATTTCTAGCACTCACCCACATTATTGAATTCTGGAAATGAAAGCAGTGTGGTTTAATGCCACACACGGGATTTTCTTGAGCGTTCAAAGCTGAAGTGTAATTCCCGAGGTCTTATTCGAATCAAGGTACTGCTCTGCGACGAATGGTAGCATTTTGTGGCACAAAGTTCCTCTGAAATTCTAACACTCCACCCACCTCGAACCAAGACAAAGAAAGCAGTATGGTGTAATTATGCACATGGGGATTCCTTAGTAGAAATGGGATTTGATCAACCCTGAGGTCCTTGTTCGAATCAAGGTACTGCCCTGCCTCTTCCTACTCTACCTTTTTTTTGGAACAAAATTCTCGGTACTACACCCACCTCGAAACGGGGCAAATAAAGCAGTATGGTGTAATGATGCACGTGGGATTTCCTTGGGACTTGGAAGATTGGTTATTCCCGAGGTCCTTGTTCGAGTCAAGGTACTGTTCTTCATCTCTGCGAATGCATATTTTTGAACAAAATTCCTCTGAATCAGTTGCATTCCACCTACCATGAAAGAGGGTAAATAAAGCAGTATGGTGTAATGCTGCACACGGGGATTTTCTTCAGATGTTCGGTGGCACATTTAATCCCAAGGTCCTTGTTCGAATCAAGGTGCTGCTCTTCTATTTTCCGAGTTACATTTTTTGCTATGAATCTCAGCACTCCACTCCTCTCGAAACAGGGTAGTGAAAGGTGGTATGGTGTAATGCAATACACGGGGATTTCTTTACTGTTTCCCTGAAATCAACCCCGAAGTCCTTGTTCGAATCAAGGTACTGCTCTCCATCTTCCCACTCCACCTTTTTTACTTGGAACAAAATCCCTCTGAATTTCCAGTACTACACCCACCTTAAAACAGAAGAAATAAAGCAGTATGGTGTAACGATGCACACAGGGATTCATTACTCAAGATATGAACTGCCGACTGGGAGCAGCACCTTGATTCAAACAAGGACCTCGGGATAACATATTTGTTCAACGGGGTAGGAAAATCCCGTGTGCGGCATTACACCATACCACCTTTCGTTACCCTGTTTCGAGAGGAGTGGGGTGCTGAGATTCGTGGCAAAAAAACGTAGCTCGGAAAACAGAAGAGCAGCACCTTGATTCGAACAAGGACCTTGGGATTAAATGTGCCAAAATTGTATGAAAATCCCATGTGCATCATTACACTATACTGCTTTCTTTGCCTTGGTTCGAGGTGGGTGGAATGTCAGAAATTCCGAATGGATTTGGTAAAAAGACCTGCTAAAATGCCTTCCTGGGCAGCACCTTGATTCAAACAAGGACCTCGGAAATACATTATTTTTCATCGTCTTTTTTTTTTTGGCCAGTTTCTGCTGAATCTCTAGCACTCCATCCACCTTGAGACTAGGACAAGAAAGCAGTATGGTGTAATGCCGCACACGGGGATTCCTTAAAATGGCGTGACATAATGGCTCAGCCCGAGGTCCTTGTTCGAATCAAGGTACTGATCTCAGAAGTCATTGGACATCTTTTTTTTTTGCACAAAATATCTCTAAATTTCCAGGACTCCTGCATCAAAACTGAGTATGTTCAAGTCAAGGTACTGCTTTATGTGATGATTAAGTCATTCTTTTGGCAGAAAATCCATCCACATCTCTGGTACTCGATTGCCGAAGGAAAGGCAGTATGGTGTAACAATGCACTCGGGGTTTCCTTAGCACGGTGGGTTGTATGATTTGATCAACACCCGAGGTCCTTGTTCGAATCAAGGTACTGCTCTTCGTGATAACTCCACTCTTTTTACCTGAATCCCACAGAATTTCTAATACTCAGCCAACTTCGAAACTGGTTAGGAAAGGTGGTATGGTGTAATGATGCACATGGGATTTTGTTGAACCAGGCTGAATCGAGTCATCTCGAGATCCTTGTTCGAATCAAGGTACTGCTCTTGAGTCTTGGTGGATGACTTTCCTTTTTTTGGCTAGTTGCTGCGGATTTTCTTGTACACCATCGACTTCAAAACAGGGCAAAAAAAGCAGTATGGTGTAATGGTGCACACGGGATTTTATTGCGACTTGGAAGATGGGTTATTCCCGAGGTCCTTGTTCGGATCAAGGTACTGCTTTGCCACTTCTGTAGAATTTTTTTTGGCAAAGTTCCTCTGAATCTCTAGCACTCCACCAACTTTGAAAGAAGATAAAGGAAAGCAGTACGGTGTAATTATGCACACGGTATTTTCTTGAGGTTCAAGTGTGCATGTAATTTCCGAGGTCCTTGTTCGAACCAAGGTAACATGCGACGTGCATTTTCAACAAAATTCCTACAACTCTTGCTGCTTTCCAGATTTTCGCACTTTTTCATGGCACAAGTTTCCCTTAGCACCACACCCACTTTGAAACAGAGTAAAGAAAGCAGTATGGGTATGGTGTAATGATGCACACTGGGTTTCCTTATTGGGTCAACCAGAATGCGTATCCTTGGGGTCCTTGTTCGAATCAAGGTACTGCTCTTGTGCTGACTCGAGAGTTTTTTTTGGCTAGATCCCGTTAAATCTCCAACATCCACTGACTTCGGAAAGGATGGAGGGGAGGCAGTATGGTGTAATGATGCACACGGGATTTTCGTATGCCAGTCTCACCACAACGTGAATGTATTCCAGATGTCCTTGTTCGAGTCAAGGTACTGCTTTGTGGCAAATCGCCAGTATCTTTTTGCTAGATCCGGCTCAAATTCTAGCACACCATCGACTTCGAAACAGAGCAAAGAAAGCAGTATGGTGTAATGATGCACATGGGATTTTCATACAATTTTGGCACATTTAATCTCGAGGTCCTTGTTCGAGTCAAGGTACTGCCTTTTCTCCGTCGCCGCCTTCTTTTTTCAAAAAGAAAAATCGCTCACGGGGTGTTCGAGTGGCATGTGTAATTTTTGAGGTCCTTGTTCGAATCCAGGTACTGCTCTTGAGTATTGGTGGACGACGTTCTTTTTTTGGCTAGTTGCTGCGGATTTTCTTGTACACCATCGAGTTCGAAACATGGCAAATAAAGCAGTATGGTGTAATGAAGCACACGGGAGTTTCTTGAGGTTCAACTGGTATGTGTAATTCCCGAGGTCCTTGTTCGAATCAAGGTCCTGCTCTTCGTTGTTGCTACTCACCTTTCTTGTACCAAAATTTCTCTGCATCGCTGACACCTTGAAACTGGGCAAGGAAAGGAGTATGGTGTAATGATGCACACGGGATTTTCTTACCTTATGAGAAGATATGTTATCCCGAGGTCCTTGTTCGAATCAAGGTACTGCTTTCCATCTCCAATGCCTTTTTTTGGGAGAGAAATTCCTCTGAGTCTCTAGCACTCCCACTGACTTCGAAATTGCCCGAAGAAAGCAATATGGTGCAATGATGCACACGGGATTTTCTTGTGTTCAAGCTGACGTGTAATTCCCGAGGTCCTTGTTCGAATCAAGGTATTGCTCTAGCCGTCTTTACAATGGTATTCTTTTTTTTTTTGGCAAAGTTCCTCTAAATCTCCAGCAAACATTGAAACTGGGCAACGAAAGGCAGTATGGTGTAATGATGTACATAGGAATTCATTACTAGAAACACGAGGTGGATATATATTCCGAGGTCCTTGTTTGAATCAAGGTACCGCTGTGCGGCAGACACTTTTTTTTTGACTGGATTCCGCTGAATTTCTAGCACTCCATCGACCACTCTGTTGATACGATCTTTCAGTTATGATCCTCGCATCGCACCTATTGCTGGAACGTTAGCTTTGTTCCATTGGCGCACATCGAGGGATCCTGTCCACTTCTGATTTGGCAGATGAGTCTTGACCATCAGGCAGGCGACCTTCCCCGAGGAATTCTCAACGAGTTTTTCGTGTGCTGTTGAATCCATGTGAGGTCGTTTGACGAGTCGGAGTCAGGGTACCTTCGCGCAAGTGGAAGAGATTTGACCTGAGCTCAAGTGCCTCAACTTGTGTTAGTCCCAAGCAGCAATACAGTTGATTCATAATACTTAAACTTAGACCACGTGCCACAGGTCGACTTTTCCTTCATGAAGCCAGTGCCTTACTAAAAAATGTCTCGGAGTTACCTTACCATGTCGCCTCCGATGCCAGCCATTTGTTTTAAGTAATATATGACAATCAGCTTCCTCACGGTTGGTAATGGCTACTTTTGAACTTGCTTTTGGCGCCGTTGAAAGGCAAGAAGCCACCGTCTCTCGCGAAAATCGAAAAATCTTACACCATTAATGAAGGGACATGATTTAGGGTACGCGTTACGGTACCTTGAGATTTCAGTTGGCATTCACTATGTATTGTACTATCCATCGGAAAGGAACCAAACACAATTTAGAAATTGAATACGTGAAAACAACCCGACAAGGGGGCAATTCTCATGGGCTCTCCTCTCCGATCAGGAGGAAGGGAATGTCATGCATTTGGTGCGGTGCTGCGTTCACCTCGACCATCAATTCGCTGGTACTCGAGAAATAATTCAATTAATTTCAAGTCACCTGAACTGAGAGGATGAATCTACCCTAGGCGTTGCCATCTAAAACTTCACCAGCCGAATGAGTTCCTCTCTCGCTTCTCCCCCGCGCGCCTCTCTGAGGGCCTTCAACATCTTCGCCACGTTTTCTTGCAATCTCGCGCCCTTTTCACCCCGCGCAGCGGCAAACATCGCCTTGAACTCCTCCGACGCGTCCTGCACAGTGCCGGTGATTTCGACATTACTGTGGAGGGAGGGCGCGATTTGTGGGCCAGCACGAATCTGTATACATCCCAAGTTAAGTGGATTGATTCCAAAAAAGAAAAATTAAGAGACGCTAATACCTGCAAGAGCTCGATCGCCAGTGGATTCGGCTCAGCTGACAACATCGCCGCGTTGACAGTCTGCTCAGCGCCAACAGGCCAAATAATTAGCGGGATGCCCTGCGTAAATGCCTCAGTCACAGAACTACGATAAACGTGAGTAGTGCGAAAATGAAACAGGTCAATTGGAGATGGAGGTGGGTGAATACTTACTTGAACCCACCGTGTGTGAGGAACCACCCGACGCCACCATGCTGCAGGATAGCGAGCTGCTCGACCCAAAAGTCGCAAATGAGCCCTTTCCCGCTCGCGTTGACGCGCTCTATGAGGTCTGCGGGGAGGGACGCCATCTGGGACCCAAGTGCGAAGATGAATGGGAATGGCTGCTCGAGTTCGAATAGCGTGGTCACAAGCGCTTCGACGAGCTGCGGCGTGGCAACGGGGAAGAAGAGCGATCTGACGAGAGTAAGGATTCTGAGCAGTTATGAAGAATACACGCGCCCACCCGAAGGAGATATAAAGGACAGATTTCTTGCCGTATTCACTCACAGCGCGGTCCAAGAAGGATTTGACGCGCTCGTTGGACAGCACAGCCGGGGTAGCATTGGCCCAACAGAGCTCGTGAGCCTGCATCCCGATGGTAAACAGCTCTTTCCCGTGCTTCCCGTAAAATTCACGGAGGTATGGCACGCCGATGGGCTCGATGCAGGTGCTTGTGGTGGCAATGTATCCGTCAACGGCCTTGCCGAGCTTCTGGGCGCTCGACAAAAGCGCACCCAAGCCAGTCGGTGGGCCGGCGCCATATGCGTGGCGCTCGTAGTCGTACATGTCGGGGCCGCCGGGATACTTAATGACGAGTCCTGATATTTTATCCGTGCCGTTGGAGGCCTCGAAAACCTGTGAGTGTGAAGCTGGAATCAACTAATGGAAAACAATCTTGGATGAAACCCAACATTTTGCACGATGTCCTCCAGAGAGCGACCCTCCCGCTTCGACTCGTCTGCGTAGATGTCCTCAGCTATCGCAGTAAAATCGTGGTCGCTGAAATGTGCGGGCAAGGAAATAATGGCGGAGGACCACCATACAAGGGTCTTGCAATCGGGACCAAAAATTGCCTTGGTGGGTTCAATTACAAACCCTCCGCAGGCGAAATCGAACTGAGAGAAACCGTCGGCATCTGGAAATGAGACAAAAATAAAATGCGTACATGAATGGCTTGTGGTTTGGGCCATCCCTCAGTTCCCTGAGCCAATTGAGGAATAGTCTCCATCCAGCCGCCGCAGAGGTGTCCAAGCGCGTCCTTGATCTTGGTTGGTCCATCCAGGCTGCAAAATCAAGGAGCAATCAATTCGCGAAAACGACAGGAAGGACTGAGGACGAACTTGAACTCCTTGGGGCCCACCCCAATGATTCGAAGTCGCGCTTTGTCGTAGGAGCACCCTGCCAGCGCCGCCTCCATTTTCGGGACTGATCAACGAAAATCTCGCAATTCAGACTTTGTTTGGTATTCTTGGGAAGGTACGTACCAATAAGATTGTGCTGCACAATCACTGCGTTCCCACCTTACGTAGACGCACCCCGGTGTACGTTGGACTACGTCTGTCTACGTCAAGTCTACGTGCGGCTACATGTGTTGATCTTCGTCTACGTCCGGCTACATATGTGTACGCCTTGATGTCGGTGTACGTGCGGCTACGTCTGGCTACGCAGCGTAGACACGGTCCGTCTACCCGTCGGCTACGTATGTCTACGTGCGTCTATAGCGTAGACGCACGTAGACATACCTCGGTCAACTTCATAATGCTGTTCACTCCAATTCTGCATTGAGTTTATTTATCCAGTTCCGCAGAATTGGGTGAGGTATGTGTACATTTGTCTACAATGGTCTACGTGTGTCTACATCGGTCTATGTCGGTCTACGTGCGTGGACCGAGGTAGACCGATGTAGGCATATGGAGGCATATGTAGACGAGCCGTATCTACATGATGTAGACATACGTAGACAAAGGGGTTCGTCTACCCTTTGTCTACAGAGATAGACAGACCCTCTGTCTACAAGGGGTCGGAACGCAGTGAATCGTAATAACGAGTGTAGGATCCACAGCGAGCATCTGGTCCACAGCATTGATGTAGCTGATCGTGTGTCCCCACGCTGGCGGGAGCATTGCGACAATGTGGTGGGTAGGCATGTTGAACCGGAACGGATGAAGAGTGAAACGAACGAACTCTCTGGGACCCTGGGGGTTTGACTGCTCTTGTAAGTAGGTCAAAAGTAGGTGCCGGAAATGCTTGGGAAATCCAGGGCCGTCCCATCGGAAAAATCTGACTGGAGAACTGGCCAACATTAACGCAACATCGGCAACACCAACATTGATCGGTACTGTTGTTTCACTGTTCTCGTTCGAGAAAACTGATGCGCAGCGCTGCAGCTGAGTAATGCATGCATCGGTAAAGTTGTCGCTTGAACAAGTATAGTAGCTCGGGAACCAGGCCGTCACCACTCACCAGTGGAGGAGAAAGAAAAGATTCAGAAAATCCCGAAAACTTGAAGCGGGCCCAGCGAAAATAGAATAAGCGGGATAAAAGGTACATCAGTGTCTGGACTCGAAGGGTGACTCGGATTGGACTCGGAATCCAATCCGACTAAATATGGCAACATCTGAACATCCCTTGTCCGTAATCGTGTATTTGTAATTTTGTATTGCTTCTCAGATTGTCGACCCCGAGTGACTGGATCTCGACCAAGGGATTTAACGCTCACCAATTTTGTCATGTCCACACAAAGCCGGTCTAGCATTTACGAAGAACTTGAATGACGTGCCTTTAATTGAATAGCCAGTCCTTTGGACTTGCTGCTCAAACTTCTGAACGAGCTGCGTTAATATTTCACAGCGTCCGGATGGTGGCCAATTCGGAGAATTGGTCGCGAGGATAAATTGAATGTTTATTTCAAGGAGTGGCCTACCAACACTGGCTTCCTATGTACCCGACTCGCAGAGATGAATGAGTGTTGAAAGACAGGGAGGATCGGTGGTTGGAACAATGAGGGAGAGGGAGAGAGAGCGGGAGGATACAAGGGGAGGTGAATGTGGAACATGAAAGAAGAGCAGTGAAAGACGACAGCGCGAAAACATGCACTGGTTTCCCAACCTGACCGGCGGCACTGACGTCTCACATCTTTCCAAATCCATTCCTACGCGATGCACAGGCAATCAAGCGGCAGCGGCGACAACAATGGCGGAGGGAACACCGAGGAGGAGGAAGGTGAAGACTGTGCACACGGTGCGGGTGTAGTACCAGGGGAGCGTGCCCATGTGCATGTCAGTTGTAAGGCCAAGACCGAGGAAAGGACGATCCAGCACAAGGAGGTGTAGAGCAGCGAGACAGAATACACAGAGATGAAGGTGGGAGAATCAGCCGAATTCACGACGCGCACTATGATGACGCACGGTACAATTGCGCCGACGACAGGATGCCCGGCTGTGGGGGCCCGCCCTGCCCGCCTTGGCCTGGCTGGGGCGAAAACGGTGGTGAGGCCGTGTTGGTGCTGCCTGTTGCGCTATTGGATGCTGATGTTGAGCCTGGGGCCCGTGTGGAGCTCGAGCTGGAACACATGGAGAGAAGAGGGAAGAGCAGAGACGTCCACAACGTGGGTGATATGTCGGTGTCGCTAAGGAACAATAGCCGGGCCTGAGAGAATGTTGGCGGCGATGGGGACTAGAGCGTCGGCATCGTCGTGGGCAGCGTCGAGGAGCAAGGTGGCGACGCCGAGGTCAAGCAGCAATAGAAACAAAGACTTGGCAGCGGGACAGAAATGACGTTGTGTCATCACGCGCGGTGATCCACTCCGCTGTTCGGCAGCTGCCTTTTCCGGTCTTTTGTCTCAACCACGTTTCTGAATGAGCACTGAGGCTGCTGCGCAAACGCCCCACTGGCTCGCGGACTCCGGTATCTCTTTCTTACCGATCGAGCTTCCTAACCATAATCGATTTGAATTCAGCCGATCGGCCCGCGGAGGCTTTTTTTCCACCCCCTGATTCGCGTTCTTTTGGCATAAATCTCTCGCATTCCACCGACATGGAAATAGGGTAGAATAGGGTACATAAAGCAGTATGGTGTAACGGGATTTCTTGAACCAGGCTGAATCGAGTCATCTCGAGGTCCTTGTTCGAATCAAGGCACTGCTCTTGAGTCTTGGTCCTTTTTTTTGCTAGTTGCTGCGGATTTTCTTGTACACCATCGAATTCGAAACAGGGCAAATAAAGCAGTATGGTGTAACGATGCACACGGGATTTTCATGGGGGTTTGCGCACATTTAATCTCGAGGTCCTTGTTCGAACCAAGGTACTGCTCTTGATGGATGGTACAGTAGCATTTTTTGTACTAAAATTCCTCTGCATCGCTGACACTGTACAGACCTGGAAAGAGGGTGAAGGAAAGCAGTATGGTGTAATGATGCACATGAGATTTGCTTGAACCACGCTGAATGAGTCATCTCGAGGTCCTTGTTCGAATCAAGGTACTGCTCTGGCGAAAATTGCCTCATAAATCCCTCTGAATGAGTTAACACTCGGACAACTTTGAAACTGGGTCGGAAAAGGCAGTATGGTGTAATGATGCATGCAGGATTTTGTTGAGATGTTCGAGTCGGATGTGTAATTCCCGAGGTCCTTGTTCGAATCAAGGTACTGCTCTAAGATGAAACCCCATTTCTTTTTCGGCACAAAAGTCCCTTTGAATCACTATACGGGATTTTCTTCAATGTTAACTTTGACACCTTTTTTCATTCGTTTTATGAACGAAAAAAAAAAGACCCAAAAAAGGCTTTAAAACGGCCCTTTCGTGAAACCCCCAGGTTCTCTGTGGTTCAAATATATTTGCACATGTAACAGTTGTCTCAGGACCTTCAAGTTGTCGCGTGTGGCTGTGTTGGGACAAGCTTCCGCGACAAGTGCAACTATTTATTTTCTCCTCGAGAATTGGATAATAAAACTATGATCCCACTTGTTCTTCAAGGAATTCTGTATGGCTTTGGGTTTATTGTGGACTCGATTGCACCAACTACAGAGCATAGTACTAGTGGCTATACCGAGAAGGCGGTATGCAACCCCCTTTTTGGCTCCATCAAGTACGCTCATCATGCTGCATTCGTGCCAGTGGGGGCGCCAGTCGCTAAGCAGCCCCTAAGTAGTGCAGCACACTTACTAAGCAGCCCGTAATGAGTGCAGGACAAAAAACAGTGTCATAAAAGGCTTGAAAAAAGCCATGTATTTTGCATAAAAGGGGGGAGGCCTTTTATACAACACCTTCAAAAAACGGGGTCTTTTTTCGAGATCCTTTTTTCGGGACCATTGAAAAAAGGTATCAAAAAAGACCTGAAAAAACGCCGAAAAAACCCGTCGTGAAATGCTCTATTAAAACCAAAGTGATTCCTGAGGTCCTTGTTCGAATCAAGGTACTGCTTTGCCACTTCTGTAGAATTCCTTTTTGCCAAAGTTCCTCTGAATCTCTAGCACTCACCCAACTTTGAAACTTGGTACGAAAGGCAGTATGGTGTAATGATGCACACAGGATTTTCTTTGCAATATTTGAAGCATCCTCAATCCCAAGGTCCTTGTTCGAATCAAGGTACTGCTCTTCCGTATTCCGAGCTACGTTTTTTGTGGCACGAAATTACTCTGAATCTCTGACAGTCTACCCACCTTTAAATGGGGTATGCAAAGCAGTATGGTGTAGTGATGTACACGGGATTTTCTTACCCTGTTGATAAAATATGTTATCCTGAGGTCCTTGTTCGAATCAAGGTACTGCTCTTCCGTTCCGAGCAACGTTTTTTGTGGCACGAAATTACTCTGAATCTCTGGCAGTCTACCCACCTTGAAATGGGATATGCAAAGCAGTATGGTGTAATGATGCACACGGGATTTTCTTCAACCAGAGCCGACCAATTGAATCCCAAGGTCCTTGTTCGAACGAATCAGGGTGCTGCTCTATTGGTGGATCCAGGACTTTTTTTGGCACAAAATACCTCTGAATCACTTGCACTCCCACAGGTTCAAAACCAGATGAAATAAGGTAGTATGGTGTATTGATGCATGCAGGATTTTCTTGCAGTACAGCTTCCTTAATCCCGAGGTCCTTGTTTCAGTCAAGTTACTGTTCTGTTCTACAGGATTGCTGTAATTTTCGAACAAATTTCATCAGAATCTCTAGCACTCAATCGACTTCGAAACAGGGAGAGAAAGCAGTATGGTGTAACGACGCACATGAGATTTTCTTACACGTTTGAAGATGAGAATAATATATTCCCGAGGTCCTTGTTCGAATCCAGCTTGTCGACCCAAGTTCCGTTTTGGCTATTTTTTGCTGAATTTCTGGCACGTCACCAACTTTGAAACTCCCTAAGGAAAGCAGTGTGGTGTAATGATGCACATGGGATTCCTTAGGACAGATGGGATCTGATCAACCCTGAGGTCCTTGTTCGAATCAAGGTACTGCTCTACTCCTGGATCCAATGATTTTTTTGGCACAAAATCCTCTGAATCTCCAGCACTCCACCCACCTCGAAACAGGGCAAATAAAGCAGTATGGTGTAAGAATGCACACGGGGTTTCTTTGAGGTGTTCGAGTGGCATTTATAATTCCCGAGATCATTGTTTGAGTCAAGGTACTGCTCTGACCAGGATGGTGAGTTGCTTTTTGGCTATATTATGCTGACTCTGGCACACTACCAACCTTGAAACTAGGCAAGGAAAGCAGTATGGTGTAATGCTACACACGGGATTTTCTTGCACTCAAGCTTATGTGTAATTCCCGAGGTCCTTGTTCAAATCAGGGTACTGCTCTCCATCTTCCCAGCCCATCTTTTTTTTTGGAACAAAATTCTCAGTACTACACCCACTTTGAAACAGAGTAAAGAAAGCAGTGTGGTGTAATGATGCACACTGGGTTTCCTTATTGTGTCAACCAGAATGCGTATCCTTGCTTTTCCTAACCTGTTTCAAGGTGGGTGAGTGCTTGAGAATCAGAGGGATTTTGTTGAAAAGTCGAACAAGAAAAGGAAGACAGCAGTACCTTGAGTCGAACAAGGACCTCGGGGTTGATCAAATCACACAGCCCACGATGTTAAGGAATCCCGTGTGCATCATTACCCCATCCTGCTTTCTTTTCCCTGTTTCGAGGTGGGTGGGGTGTCAGAGATTTGTAAGAATTTGTGCCAAAAAGACCCAGCAATCTCGATCAGAGCAGTACTTTGATTCGAACAAGGACTTCAGGATTATGTATACTCTTGAAAGTCTAAGAAGTCCTGCATGCATCATTACACCATACTCGCTTTGGGAGGTGTACAAGGCAGGGTTGAAGGCATGGGGGGCAGCATATCTGACACCAAAGGAGGGTGAGGGGAATGAGGCAGGTGGGGGTAGCCAGGAGGGGTACAGGTATTATAGTTTGTTGACTGGCTTAGGATTGGTATTGGCGGTGTGGGCATGAGGGACATTCATTCTTACCTACTACCTGCCAACAAGTTTTACCAACCAACGACACACTTTTGCAGGCGGCATAAGAGGGCAAAGAGGAGAACTGCTAAGAGTATGAGCCCAGCGATTATGGTTATGAAGATTATGAGACGGGCTAGCGGTCCTATGGAGACGGGCAGACATGTGGGTGAAGACTGCATCATAACGTGTGGCCTTGTATGTAAGTAACACGTCTTAGGGCTTGCAATGCTTGGTAAACTCACCGTCGCCGCTACGGGAGATAATGCCAAGGAAGCCATGTCGGAAAATCCTGGGTGGGTTGTATCGTCACTCAACCGGTCCCAAGCCGTTCCAAGGTCCCAATTTTTTTGTGGCTTGCAACACTTGGGTAAGGTGCATGTAACCCGTTCCAAGCCAGTGGCAGGGTTACAATCAGTTCAATCCATTCAAAGCCAGTTTGGGGATTCTAGACCTTGAGACCTGTTTTAAGTAGTTGCAACTAACACGCGCTGCGCCAATTAAAAAAAAAAGAATTGAATAAAACTAAATATAAAAGTACCTATTGCTGCTACTACAGAATAATTCACCGTCCACGCCGCTCATTGTTACGAGGCGGTTCGGGGCTGCACTCCCTTGGTATGAGGATGGGTGGTACAGGTGGGTGCCTCACAGCCGAGGCAGGGGGAGGAATGGTCGGCGTCCGGGAGGTGGTGCGTGGTGGGTTTGATGATTGAGCTGACGATCGGGGCTGGGAGCTGGATGATAGTTGCAGTGAGCTTGTCTAGAAGTGGCGCGAATGCGGGGGTGGGGAAGGGGAGGATGACCGGCTTTGGAAGTCGTCTTCGCGGTTGTCCTGTGGAGGGCTGGTGATCTGTAAAAAGTAATTAGATCAGTGGACGAAGTTTAAAGTAAGGACAGCACTTGAGGAATAGTGCGCTCCGCGGCCGACGGTGCTTGACCAAAAATATTATCGAGGTCTTCGTCATTGTCGAGCTCCTCGTTGCCTGCTGCATCATGTTCGCGAGACTTGTCCTCCCAGTATTGGAGAAGGTCTATCGCCCAGGCCTTCTTGTCGTGCAGCCCCTCGCGAATCCGACGGATCTAGATAACTATAGTCAATGGTTGTCTCGTCACCGACCTTTACGAGTTGCATGTCCGCCGAATAGAGCCATATGGCCTGACAATCCTCAGGAAGAGCATGGTAGATAAAAACAAGAACACACCAGGATTGACGCAGTCACAATCGCACCCAGCGTTGTACGGGTGATCTTGTGAATCCGTTCGAGGCACTTGGCTTGCGGGAGCTTGCATTTGCCTTCGAATAACCCCTGCGGATGCAGGAAACATAGACCTTCAAAACAGAAAAAGAAAAGAAATGAGCAACGGAAAAGAAATGTGGCAGCTTGCGCACCTCGAGCACCACATTTCCCCGGAAAAGAGTGTTCACGTTGATTGTCCCGTCCCACTTGTCGTGGAGGAGGGGTATTTCAAAGGTGCAAACACGATATCCCATGGAGGAGCGCTGGCTGTGCAAGCCATCCAAGAACTGTGGCATGGGTTAATAGAGGACGAAAGGTTAAGAGTTGATTACGCACGGAGTCTTGAACCCACCGTTGCTTGATCTTCGGCTTCACATCATCGGGAAGGATGGTTAAAATGTCGCATAGTTGGCCCTGTTGCTCACTCTTGGTGAAGTCGAACTCCTTGTCGAAGTCGAAGTTGGCGTCCTCTGTGTTCATGACATCGTCGTCGATCAGGAAGATGGCCTGCATGAGGGCGAAGTGGCGGGCTGCCTCGTGTATACGGGTCTCGGTGTCCTGTGGATTGACCTCCGAGTCGTCTACATCGCGTGCGGGGTCGCCATGGTCTGCAGTGACTTGTTGGGGGTGAGCTGCTGCGCGAGAGCAAGAAGGTTGTGCGGGGGGCGGGGAGACGAGGGCGGAGTTGGTGAACTAGAGTGTGGCATAGTTTGTGAGTTGTGGTGGGGGTAAGAAGAAAAGAAAAGCACTTGCCACCGTCTTAAGTAGCAGCCTTGACTTTGCGCATTGTCCTCAATGATGGTGGCTCGAGTCTGAGGAATGCCACCGCAAAATTCGGTCACACGGTTGTGACTTAATTACTTACGCCGCGACGCGCTTGCTCAAACCACAATGCCTAAGCCAGGATACAAGCAGCATAGTACTTCTAAGAAGCTGATTGTCCTATCTGCGAGTGAAGCCCTGGAAGCATGATCTTCATTGCACTTGAACACATTACCCGCGGCGCCCCATATCTGGCGCGTCGCGCGAGGTATTGTACATAGTGGACTGCATCGACGGGGATATGTTTCTACGTGTAGATAGATTAATCTAAATTAATCCCTTTCTTTCATCCCTTGAACGATCCTCCACGAACACAGTCAGCATCCGTGAAAATTGTATTAGTCTAAGTTGTTATACTCGTACTGAATATATTTTTACATGGCCACACTGAGGTCCCAGCTCCCACCACAGCTCCTCACTCAAAAGCCATGTAAAGCTGTCCCAAGAGGTTTAAAGCCTAGAAGGGCCTTGGGATGCTTTGAACGGCTCAGAACCGGTTACAAGTTGGTTACAAGCCACCCCGCCAGCGGCTTGGGACCGGTTGCAATCCCACCCAAGCCGACAAGCCGACCCAATCCGTTGCAACTGATTTGGGTTTTTTCCGACACACAGGTCGAGAGAAGGCTCTGGTTTGGCAGCCCACAATGAGATATTAGGGCATGCAGACATGCATAAATGAGACCGGCGGCTGGGAAACAGACATGGAACTTGGCAAAGGAAAAGGTGGGCTGGGTGTGGATTGTGAGGCCTGGTGGAGAAATTAGACTGTGTCTGAGAGAGAACACATACCATGCTGTTGGAATCAATAGAGCAATCCAGTATTGGTATGCAAATGTGTGGGGAATTCTTCGCTGGCTAGGACATAAATACTCGTCTAGAGTAATTAAACGAATTTAGTCTGTCAGGTACAGGAATGAATGGTGGGGACCTTATACCAATGTGCGCCACAGGGGCAGTGCACGCAAATGCAACTCGTACTCCAACACATCCGTCCGTTGACATGAAGTGGCTTACAAAGGATGGCACTGAAGTGGAGTTGCCGATGAAAGAGAGAGGTCAAAGGCAGAGTCTAACAATTAGACCCGGAGAGGCGCTGCCCTGCACTATTTATCGGCTTGGGACTTAGGCCCAAGGGGGCACCGGCATTAAAAAAAAAAGCTACTTATAGGGGAGATTTTCTTTTTTCAGATCTCAGTCGGCCATCAGACTTTGTGCCAAAAACTTGATCGTACTTGATTCGAGTGACAAGTGATCAAGTAAGGTCCGATTCTCCACAAGTGCCAAAAAAAAAAAAATCTTGTGGTGCGGGCTCTTTTGTATCCAATTTGACAAGTTAAAGTTTTTCAGATTTTTCAGATTCAAGAGGAAAATGTTATGGATAGGAAATCTTGAGTGCAGCATTACTTACACCATATTGCTTTCTTCGGGCAATTTCGAAGTCAGTTGGAGTGCTTGAGATTCAGAGGGAATTTCATGCCAAAAAAAAGGACGACAATCAAACGATAAAGCAGTACCTTGAGTCGAACGGGACTTCGGGAATACATTATTTCTCAATTCTTGAGTAATGAATCCCTGTGTGCATCATTACACCATACTACTTAGTTTGGGCTATTCTGAATTTGATTGAGTTCAGGAGATTCCGAGGTAGGTAGGTAGGTAGAATTACAGGAATTTTGTGGTTTCAAAAAAAAAAGAGCTGTGATATTGAAGAGCAGTACCTTGATTCGAACAAGTTCCTTGGGTTTGAGCATATGCGACAGACTAAAGAATCCCTGTGTTCATCATTGCACCATACTGCCTTTTCTTGCCCAGTTTTGAGGTGGGTGAGGACTAGAGATTTGTAGGAATTTTGAGGCAAAAAAAAAAACCATCATCAAATGATTAGGGCAGTACCTTGAGTCGAACAATGACCTCAGGAATATGCTTTTCAACGCTTCGTAATGAAATCCCTGTGTGCATCACTACACCATACAGCTTTGTTTGCTTAGTTTCAAGGTTGGGGGAGTGCTAGAGATTCAGTGGGACTTTGTTTAAAAAATGCTACCATTCGGCGCAGAGCAGTACCTTGATTCAAACAAGGACCTCGAAGATGAGAGCATTCTTACCACAGTAAGAAAACCCCGCGTGCAACATTACACCATACTGCCTTATTTGCGTTGTTTCGAAGTTGGGTGAGTCCTAGAAATTCAGAGGAATTTGTGCCAAAAAACACTCCACTCAGAACAAGAGCTGTACCCAGTTTCGAGCTGAGTGGAGTGCTAGAGGTTCTGACAGAATTCGTTTTTG